TGTTTCTGTACATTACCACAATGAATTTTAAATGAAACAGCTCTGATGCAGTTAAAGTGCAGACTTTCAGCTTTAATACAGTGGGTTGAACAAATCTGCCACTGTAGTGATTTCTTGGATGGGTTTTTTTCTCTTTTCTCAGCTGGCAGCTTTTGAGCTGCATGGAGAGCTTCTTTTGTTGTCTGTTTACAGTGAAATCTTCCAAATGCAAGCACCACACCTCAGATCAACTTCAGTCCTTTTATCTTCTTAATTGATAATGACATAACAAAGGAATTGCCCACACTTTCCCAAGAAATAGCCTCTGAGTCAGTTGTCCAATTACTTTTGGTCCCTTTAAAAAAAAGGTGGCACATGTTAAGGAGCTGAAACTCTTAAACCCTCCATCCAATTTGTATGTGGATAACCTCAAATACAAGCTGAGTGTCTACAAATTCTGTCTATGTCCATCATATAACTCTAATTGGAAGTGTTTTAGTAAACAGGTAAAAAAACAAAACTTGTGTCAATGTCCAAATATATATGGACCTAACTGTATGTGTGACTTGAGGTAATTGTAGCCCTTTAAACTATATCTTCATCTACAAGAATGTATTATCTCAATATATTCTTCTTAATGATTTTATTTTCTAGGTACTAAGTCTTCCCTCTGCGTTGTGACTGTGGCTGTGGTTGGAGGTGTTGCCATTCTGCTTATTTTGGCTATGTTCTTTGGTACTCGGCATTTCAAAAACACAATTGGTATCATGACTGTTAATGAAGGTAAGATTTGCTGTACATGTTAAATTAACTCTACTGCCTTTGTCAGTTCAGTCTCATTGAGTACCACACTATAATTACGCAAAGATTTCCTAAATTAATATAAAACAATGCAGGTGTCTCGACATTCCTGAAAATAATTTTGGAAAACATGAAATTCATCTAGTTAAGTAAGTTATTCACCTTACAGTTAGAGCCATGGCTTGTTGCCCAAAGACACAGTTTTTGTTGTTTTGTCTCTGTATACCACAACAATGTATTTTAAATAAAGTAATCAATATGTGATTGAAATACAGTCTGTGGTGGTGAGGAAGACTGCCAAGATGGTATTTGGTTTAATTAATGAACAGAGGGAAGAAGACAAGGAGATTTGGTGTTGGAATGAGTAAGCACCAGAAAGTACAAGGCTGGGAAAGAAAAAGTCAAAAGGTCAGGAGCACTTGGCATCTAGTGTACAGCGAAGAGAGAGGTGACAAAGGAAAAAGGCTTAAACTGACGTGTATGTGAGGCTGGATACTGAAGAAGGAGGAAGTGCCTTGTATTGACTTGTTATTTAAAAAAAATGAGCTGGAAAGGATGTGCAGTAAGTTCCAGTGAGTATTTTAAGGACCATCTTCAGAGAGGAAGGCCTCAAATGGAGTGAAGATAGTGAAGAAGGAAGTGCAAAGGATCTGTACGGAAGCGTTGAACTCCAGATTACATACCTGTGAAGATATGATACAAGATACAGGGAAGATGCTTGCAAAACAGACTGAACCATTCCCTGAAGCTGTGGGAAGGTTTTTTTAACATTAAGTTAAGGAGGGATGAGAGAGTCATATGTTAATGAGACAGTTTTGATAGAGAAGTATAGAGAAGGCCAGAAGGAGTTGAACTGTACCTGGGTGGAGAAGAGAAAACAGGGCACTATATGAGCAAGAAGAGTGTCCAAGAACTATACGAGGGTCGTGCAGGACATGTATGAAGACGGTGAGACAGTAGTGTAGTGTGAGGAAGGAGGTCAAGGTGGGGGTGGGGTTACATGAGGGATCTCAAAGAGCCTCTGAGGTGGAGGTATGCATGGCAAGAAGAAGAATGGCATTGCTGAGCCAGCCAGTGAAATCCTTTTTTAAAAGAATGTACCAGTTTACTGACTTCTAAAGTTCTCCTAAAGTTTTGATGGCCTGCATCAACTTGGGTCTTTGGGATGCAATCTTACATCAGGGTTCAATAGATCCAACTCATAAACAGCTAATGCAACACTTTTGTTAAATTCCCTAAGTCTGGAATTCAATCATATTTTGGTTGTTTCTTTCAAAATCCATTGCAGTGGTGCACATAGCACAAACTACCTGAATCTGACAGTATCCTAACATTATTGTTACAAGTCTTTCATATATAATTGTAAAATCTTTTGACTACCTAAAAATCATTTTCTGTTTCTATGTCTTTCAGATGATGCTGAAGATGACATCATCTACTCAGATGTTAAAGTGAAACAGCGTACAAGAAAAGCAACACCACGTTCAAATCAAGATGCAAGTTAGCTTGCCCCTAATGCATTCTGACCTAGCACCAGTCTTAAACCTGTTCATGCCAAGTTAGCAGTTTCAGTTAGAAGCTCTCACCAACATCTTACATATAACACTGGAGATTTAAAAAGCTGTGGTCATTAGTGTTTGTGCGTTTCTTGTGCTCTGCTTTGTATATATAGCAAATAACAGCAAAGGTGAGCTGTGCCTCTCTAAGACAACAGCAGAGTCAAGCATCAACCATCATCTCATAGCTTAAACATTTTAGCTAATATTCATTGTGTCTGTCATGACTGTAAAACAATGAAACCCAACTTAGTTGCACAGCACACGCTGAGAAAGTGTATAACTATACATGTATCTTGCGTAACACTGGCCTGATATTACTATTAGGAATCATAGCAGATATCAAAATGCCCACTTATTCTATGTAACAATACAAAAAACATGAAAGGCTCACTCTAGAAATACTTCTCCTGTTACAGTTTGTTATTTTAGTCATGTATTCTCAGTGCATACAGCTTTTTGCCTGCAGCTTAGAGTCTCAGTATTATATGTCATGTTTTGTGATCAAGTGACATTTTGAAAGTATAATAAAACTTGTGTTTCCCTCGTGTTCCACACAATTCCTTCTCAATCAGCATACTTTATTAATCCCAGTATTAATCCCAACATTCTCAAAATGTTGCATTTATTTTCTGTGTTTTGCAGTACAAACTATAAACCAAAGCCAGACATAAAGTGGAAAGAGACAAGAGTGTAATAAACTCACCCTGTAACTTGTGAACAAGAATTATTGTTTTCTTTCATAATCAAATCAAATCACTTTTATTGTCACATCACATTATTGGCACACTGGTACAGCACATGCGAGAGAAATTCTTGTGTCAAAGCTTCACAAGCAACAGTGGTGTGCAAAATACAAGGAAAATAAGAAACAAAGCAAAGTATAAGAATAGGAATATGAGAATTTTAAGAATAAATATATGTACAAATATAAGAATGTATGAACATTATTAAATATGTATACCAAATATATATGTATGCGTGTGTATATATACATATATATAACATATAGAGAAGTCAGCAGTATGAATATTGTGCAAAAGAAATGGAAATTTATGTGCAATATGGAGTGCATAAGTGTCAAAGTTTCGGTAAGTGACAGTGAAGTGTCTATGAAATGTTAGTGGTCAGTGTTGAGCAGTCTGATGGCCTGATGGAAAAAGCTGTCCCTCAGTCTGTTGGTTCGGGACCGGACACTATCATACATCCTGCTGGACTGAAGTAGTTTGAACAGTGTGTGACTGGGGTGACTGGAGTCTTTGATGATCCTCTCTGATTCCTCAGGCACTGCCTCTTGTAGATGTGCTGGAGGGAGGGAAGCTCACCTCCAATTATCCTTTCGGAACACCGCACCACTCTCTGGAGAGCTTTGCGATTGTAGGCGGTGCTGTTGCCATACCAGGTGGTGATGGATCCAGTGAGGATGCTCTCAGTGGCACAGCAGTAGAATATACTAGTGTGTGATTAGTGGTTGTTCTGTCATATTCTGGTAAAATCTGTAAACTTTAGTAGTAAAAGTAAAAATACTTATGGTGAGAAACAAGTTTTGAGTTGCAAGTAATGCATGAATCAGCACTCACCTCATGAATCCGACAGTTTCTGCGTCTTGATGCATGCTCAATCATCCAAGTAAGTAAATCCCCAAAAGTTGATTCTGTTCATCTGGACATAGTGTTTTCAGTGGGAGAAACATTTGTCACTCATCCAAGTGACTTCTTTAGTCTCAGCTGACTGTAGGTTGCCCCAATCTTATAAACAGTACATTAGCATAATGACTGAAACCGGCACCACTGAAGGAACAATGGGCTGGGAGGTCATTTCCACTCTCAGCTTCGACCAAGTGTGTTTGCTTTTGGAACTGTATCTTAATTCCACCTATTTCACATACAAGGGTCAGTAGTACAGGCAGAAACATGGGTGGGTCATGGGTTCCCCAGTTTCACCCATCGTGGCCAATTTGTACATGGAAGAAGTGGAAAAGAGGGCTTTGGTATCCTACCCTGGAACGTCCCAGAACATACCACAATTCATGGATAACATTAACTTGGTGGACCGACACATCAAATTCACCAGGGAGGATATGAAAATTGGCAGGTTAGCCTTCTTAGACTGTGAGATTTCCATCAGTAATGGGGGACATCTAAAAGCTGATGTGTACCGTAAACCTACGCATACGGATCAGTATTTAAGGTTTGACTCTCATCATCCACTGGAGCATAAAGTGGGTGTCATCAGGACGCTACAACACAGAGCGAACACCATCCCCACAGACACAGCGGCCAGGGAGGCAGAAGAACATCACATCAAGAAGGCCCTAGTAAATGTGGTTATCCCACGCTGGACATTTGTCAAAGCTGGAAGGCACCTAAAGAAAGCTCAGCCAGATCCAGGAGAGAAGGACAACGCTGCTAAGCAGAAAACCTTAGTGATCCAATCGTATGTGTCAGGAGTATCGAGACAGCTGAGACGCATTTTTTCTAAACACCAGTCTCTGTGGCTTTTAACCCCAAAACATGCTGAGCCCAAAAATTGCCCCCCAAGGATCAGGTCCCCCGACACAAACAGAGTAATGTAGTGTACCAAATGATTTATATTTACCAGTGAGTCTCGTGCTGTGGTTGTGATGAAGGCAAATAATGTCTTCCTCCATTTTCTTCATGAAAGGGAAAAAAGACCAGAAATATACCATCCAGGTGCCAGTGGTGAATTCACATGCCAGAGAGTAAGAAGACATCTTATTTTAAATATGGTGAGTGACTGTTGTCATGGCGACATTAGTTAAAAAGGAAAAAATGTCTAGTATGTCAGTAGTTGTTGCATTATTTTCCAAAGTAAGAACAGTTTCTATTTATCCATTATGTAGATAATCCACACATTTGATAGTACACTACACATGCAAAATAATGTTATTCTGTCCAAACAGAAGATGATTTTGATCTACATCATCATCGCAACTCCAGCAATGACCGCTGTGGCACAAGGTACGCTTCAGCCAGTAAACAGTACCTAGAAGAATAAAATGAATCCATATTGTTAATCCACATTAAACATTTTAATGTTTTATCTTATTATTTGTTATTACTTAGATGATTTATTGTTTAGTCTGGTGAGAGAACATTTCTGTTTGATATAGTGCTGTACATCAGATAACAGGTGCCATTAATAGTATTACTCAAGTTTCATACACATGAATTTTGTCAGTAACTATTAATTGGTTACATAATACAAAGTTTATGGTATTTCATTTTTAGTGAAATACATGATAGTTATTCATTTCCCTCTTTGTATACATTTGTTTATTCATTTTCTTACCAGGGTCTTCAGAATGCAATCTAACTGAACCTGGACCCCAGACGTGTTTTGGAGTTTTAGGAGAACCACTCGTTTTTTACATACCTACTAAACCACATATGAAGACAAGCTTGAAAAAGAGTACAGATAACATTTTAACCTTAATAAATGATAAATTATTTGTTCTCAATGAAAAATACAAGAATCGTACTACAGTCTCCACAAATGGAACATTGAAGCTCGAAAAAGCAACAAAACATGACTCTGGAGAGTACAACATGGAAACACACAGTTCTACTGACGGTGTGTTATTGCACACAGTTAACATCCATCTACATATACTCGGTAAGACCAACAACTTATTGACTTATTGAATAACATCTGTGTAATAATAATGTACATGTCAAAATGTGCTAAAAAAATGCTAAAACTGGAAATTTAAAAAGCAGGTAGTTACATGAACAGTTTGTATTTATCGTTGTTCTTATTGCTGGTTATATATTATAAGGGAGTTATCAAATTATCATTCATTTTGTGCACACATTTCATATAAGTAAGCTATGAGTAAGCACTTACATAAAGCCTGTATTGATATGTATTTACACTCCTTAGAGTAGCAGTGAATGTCATATTGCAGTTGATACTGTGTCTATATGTGACTATATGTTTGTTTTTTTCAGCTCCTGTGTCAGAACCAGCTGTTACGCAGATGTGTTTGTCACCAAAACAGATGACAGTCAGCTGTTTCTCTGAAGGAGATGAAGTAGAGCTCATTTTGTCTTTGGATGATAAGTTGTTGATACAGACTACAGCCAACGGTACAGAAAACAACGTGTTCAAATGTTACCATCAACTTACCTGGTCAGCTGATGGGAAACCTGACATGTGTTGCTCAAAACAATGTCAGCAGAAAACAAAATATCACCCACCTTACAAGCTGCACAGGTAGTGTGAAATATATGTAACAGAAATGAACATGTTAAATGTATTGTAAAGATAAAATATATCTTTGGATAATCAAAGACATTAATAACCTGTAACATTTTTCAAAAGTAGCATAGATCTGTTTTTAAAGGTTATCTATGCTGACAAAGTCTCCCAAAGATCACAAAAATTGCAAAATTCAGTTTTTTTTAATAATAATAATTTAGCAGGTACAAAGAGAAACAGAGTGTCTGTAGATATCGACCACTGCAGAGCTGACAGTGGATGTTAAATTGCAGTTTGTACTGCATCCATATGTGACTATATGTTGACTATATGTTTGTCTTTCAGCTCCTGTGTCAGAACCAGCTGTTATGCAGATGTGTTTGTCACCACAACAGATGACAGTCAGCTGCTCCTCTGAAGGAGATGAAGTAGAGTTCACCTTGTTTTTGGATGATAACTTGTTGATAAAAACCCAACCCAGCATTGCAGAAAACCGCAACATTTCAAATGTTACCATCAGCTTACATGGTCAGCTGCTGGGAAAGCTGATGTGTATCGTCCAAAACAATATAAGCAGAGAACAAACCATCATCCACCTTATAAGCTGCACAGGTAATATTAAATAAATATTACGTTCTGTTATATTTAAATAGTGATTTATTTTATTATTTTATTTAGTATAGGTATTTATAGGAGTTTTTCTCATTTTAAATGATTTATTTTATTTATTTTAAATGCTGAAGCATAAATTGGAAGTACGTATGCCTTGAAGACTCTTGGCTCTTGACGGAGCCAGTCGCACTTTCTCCTTCTCCCTCTCCCTTATCTTTCCTGCTTGGCTTCTCATGTCTGAAGTGTTTTTTCTGTTCTCAAACTGATCTCCCTGTTGGAGCGCAGTCTGGGGTTCTTTGTTCTCCTTGTCTTTCTCATGTTGTGCATTTTGCATTGTTATACCCCTCTGACCTGTCTTCCCCATGTGATGTAGTGTAATGTATGTATGGTCGGAAGGGTAAGATGGCGCTGGCAAAGGTCGGCAGCCTTAACCCAATTTCCTTCGGGGTCAACCTTCAGGATCAATAAAGTTTTATTGAATTGAATTGAACATTGTAGCCCAGTAAACTATATTTACATTATTTCAGTAATTTCTTCTTAATGGTTTTAATTTCAAGGTAATATTTCTGACCACTGCATTGTGACTGTGGCTGTGGTAGTAAGCGCTGTTGCCATTCTACTCATTCTGGCTGTGTTTCTTGGTATCCGGAAATTCAAAAACACAACTGGCATTATGACTGTTAATGAAGGTAAGATTTTTATATTAAATGTGTTGTCTTTATCAATTTTGTCTCAATGATCACCACACAGAAGTATATGCTAAATTGTTATAAAACAGTTAGTTATTTGTTGGACAAAATGATATTTTTGTAGCGTTGTAGCAACTTCTGTACAGGACACAATTGATTTCAACACAAACAGTCAATATGTGATTGAAATGCTAACTTTCACCTTTAATTCAAAGAATTTTACAAAAGTTTTTCATTAAATATTTAGTAATATTTACCCCTCATTTGTAAAAGGCTGATGGGTTATTGTCTTCACCCTGTTAAGCAGATGGGCAGGCGGGACACCCAAGTTTGTGAATGTGATAATTTGAGAATAAAGAAATGTAGCAAATGTATCAAAATTTAAATAAAGTCATACAAAAAATCTTGGGTGAGTTCGAATCTCAGTTAAATAGACCTCAAAATCAGAGATCAAGTTTTCTGAAAATCTTGTGAATGTGCTTGTGAGAACAAAGAGACGTGGGATTTTGAAAGTGATATGATAGGCTTTTTTCTACGTGGACACTGAGGGTAACACTGGCCACCACCAGTATTTTTTTTATTTCAGTCTCCAGTTTTCAAAGGAATAAAATTTTACTGGAGAAACTAACATGATTTAATTCAATCTTGCAGTTTGACTGCCTACAACCCATAGAGCTTACAATGCTACTTTTTCTTTCCTTGTGTTGCCACAAGCCATGTGTTGCTAGTTTGCAGCTTATCAATTTAATTATGTATTTAATAGTTGAATCCCGGCAGAGATGGGGTTCCTTCATGATCATTCTACTTCTATCAGCAGTCACATCATCAGCAAGCATGATTGACCCATTTGCCCATAACATTACTTTCACCTAGTAATACAGTCTGGTATCCTTGGGCTCATGAGCGATTTCACTCCTTTTCCATACATTTTCCTCCTCCCTTCTGATACAAAGTTAATATTGGTTTCATCTGTCCAGAAAATTTATTTCAGAAATGTGCAGGCTCTTTTTAGATCAAGCCTCGCCTTACTCTGCTGGAGTGTAACTATTGGTTTGCAGCTTGTAATGAACTTGTTATGTTGTCCATTTCTACCCCACGAAAGGTACTTTACTTTTTGGGCACTCTTCCTTATACTCACATTTAAAATGTACAGCAAAAAGCTTCAATTACAAATTTAGAGCTTTTGTATGATTTTAGATATGATGTCGGCTTCATTTTTCAGGAAATAAAAAGGAAACAGAACTTGGCCTTAATGCAGCTTGTTAATCAATTGTCTAAATATCCAGTTTTGAGCCTCTGAAATTGAGGGTCTATTTTTTTAAGCCTTGAATTAAAGCCAATTAAAACTGAAGTCTTTCCTTCAATCACACGTTTTTGTTTGATTTGAAATCCACTGTGGTGATGTACAGAGCAAAAAATACAAATATTGTGTCATTGTGAATCTTTGTGAAAACTTTCTTGTTACAAGTTTTCAATGTACAACATCAGCGTCTTTTGATTACACAAGACACAGTTTTCTGTTTTCTATTTCTTTCAGATGAAGCTGAAGAGGACGTTGTCTACTCAGATATTAGACTGAAGCAGCTTGCAAGAGAAACAAGAGAAACACCACCTATTTCAAATCAAGATGAAAGTTAACGTTCTCCTAAACAGTCTGACATTCTGAAACCTAAACCCTAACATGTTGACTTTCAGTCAACTGTCTAATAAAACTATGGCACTTTAGCAATTCCATCTTTGCAGTGAACGTGAAGGTAAACATATTTAACAAGTACTCACTGGATTATTAATTTTGAAGGAAACATAAAGGGGGGAAAAGTTATTTAGAAGGCATTTGATATACATGAAATACTTATTTATACTTATTTATAAATGCTTTATATTTGAACTACATTTTATTTGACATAATTTAAATAAACTACATCAGCCTTGTAAAGGTTCTAACCAACATTTAACCTTGGAGATTAAATAAAAGGCTTTGATCAGTGATGGTGCTTTCCTTGTGTTGTGTTAAGCAGACGTGGGCTGTGCATTTTGTTTGAGATAAAAACATCAGGGCTACTTTTTCCTGTGTTGTCATGACATTAAAACCACAAACTATATCCTGTTTTCACTGAGCTGCTAAACCTCTAAACCATGTGACATTACCTAAGCTTCACAGTTGTCAGTGAGAAAGGGGAAAAAACTGTATTATGCATAAAACACTGGCTTGTTTGTCACGTCCACGCATCTTAAGTAAAGGACACTCTTTCAGGATGCCAATGTTCACATTTTGGACGAAGACAGATGGTTTGAAAGAGGAGGAAAAAGCCATCTATGTCCACTGTGAGCGACCATCTTTGAACAGAGCGGGTTTACGACACCAACTTCTGCATCTAAATCAGTTTTGAGATCCCTTCCAGACGCTTACGACTCAATCCGGCATCGATCTCGGAATTCGATGATAGTCCAGGTTCATGTCAGAAATGCTGATGGCCCACCAGTTACACCTTGCTCAGGATTAGATCACAGGGGTCTTTTGTCCCTCTTGGGGGATACACTAGGTTAATCTGGTTCCCAGACTTAACGAAGAATTTGGAAGGACGTCTTCAGCACTAAGAGTCGACCTTCTTTGCAACTCCTGACTCGTGACCGGAGACAGACTCAGACATATTTGAAGACGCCTATAGGTGATCGTATCAACCATAGGGCTGTCCTAGGAGTGCATGACCACTTTATCACTGACTACATACCAAGGTGTAGGGTCTCAGGTTGGATGAAACCACTGTAAGACCTTTACCCTATCATGTGACCTATTGAGGGATCTCAGGACTGCATTGTGGGTAGCTGACAGTTGGTGTCATAAGCTGCTCGCTCTGTTCAAAGGTGGTCGTTCACAGTGGACATAGATGGTCTCTTTTGCTCCTCTTTCAAACCAACCATCTGTCTTTTCAGTCCAAAATGTGAACATTGGCATCCCTGAAAGAGTGACTTTGTCCTTTAGGTGCAGAGGTACAGCTGAGTCTTGACCTGTCGAGGAGGCTCTTCTATGTTGTGTCACGTATTTGTCGAGTGGCTATGCAGTTTCTCCAATGTAGAGCTCTCTGTACTGCACAGCATATGCTTGGTTGCTCG